GTCCACAAGCAAGTATTTTTTATATTGTACAGTTTGTTGAATATTTAATAATAGTATTGAAATAAGGCAGTGGTAAACTTATTCTGATGTTTTGATCTTGCCTTGCAAACCTTTTTAAGTCACGTTTTTTTAAGGAGGAAAGAAAATTGAAGAACGCTGTAATATACATATATATAAATGATTTAACCCACTTAGTTATTTCTGTAAATCTTTAAAAAGTTAACTTTTGGCTCACCAATTCCGTTTGCAAACCTACCATTTGTTTTAGATGCAAAGAATCTCTCTGGTCTAGGGCAGAACAGGATCGTAAGTACATTAAAAGTGTGAAAAAAAATAAGGAATTTGTAACAGGCAAACTTTGTCCCCTATAAGGCCATTACAAGGAAATGTAGATTTTTAACCTGGAACCACAGATGATATAACCACTAAAAATAATTATTTAAAAAGGAGGTAATGTTATCATTTGAACAGGTGAGAACTAAATATAAATGACCCCTAAATATATATATTTTTAGATATTTCCCAATTAGAAGCTTTGTGCAGAAACATATTGTCTCTTGATTTTATTGTCATTCTACCCCCCCAAAAAAGGTGTCGTCTCAATAATAAATCGAAATCATGAATAAAGAGTTTTTATGAAGCTTTTTTTGTTGCTGCAAAAGTTAATAATGAGGCAACCCTAGATGTTTGGCAGAAAGATCTGGGATGCTCAATCGATGCAGACACTTGGGCACACATTTGGCAGTATTTAAATTATTCTCCATTCTGTGTAAAGTTAACGAAAGTGATTTTATGCATTGTATTTGGTATAAAAATTAAAGGCTATTGGGTACAGATTAATAGGAGGTTAAGTCTTATATTTAATACAAGATGTAATAATTTGAAGAGTGCAACAAACAGGAAGTTGTTTAACTATCTTTCCTATGTTTTAGAGTGTATTTCTTAAATGTAGTATATCTGATAAACCACCGACAGTATCAGAATGGAATAAAGTAATATTTAAAAGTAATATTTGATGTTATGTCATTGAGATATATTACCCACAGGTCAAGGGGAAATTTATTTATTTTGCAAAACTCTTCTATTGTTTTAATTGTCACTTTGTGTATTTTTATGTCTTCTTTTTGATCTTCATTATGTGCTGTGATAATGCTATGATGTTGAGAAATGTGCTAGTTGTTATCTGTCGTTATTATTCTGTTGTATTGTGTTGTTAAAATAAAGGCAAAAAAAGTATAGCCTTTTATGAAATTTTAAGTTTAATATATTGTGAGTGTTAAAAAAAATCATAATATGAAATTATAATTTATTCACTTTTTATTAACTATGATTTATTATTGACCATTACGTCTTTATGAATTACAATACAAAATGTTTTTGCCATATACATTATTGGACACCTTGCATTCAGCTATAACAGAACGCTAGGTGGCGATAAAATCACGGTTTCTTTATCCACATGACAGTTCAAGTTTTTGACAGCTGTGATACCTGTGCTCTTGATTACCAATGAAGTCGTGTCACAGGTCCGTTCTGCTAATTTCCCTCGCTTTTTCACGTAGATGGATTGAATCAATATGCTTTTAGCACATAAAAACGCGCAGCCCTCTTCTATATCCAAGTGCTCCTACACTGTCCTTCAAATTCAAAGTGAAAATAGTGGGCTTTGAAAAAATATGTATGTAAATTACGCTCACAAAGGCTCCGAAAAATTGCCGTCATCACCATAGCTCCAACGATATCATTATATATTTTGAAAATGTTAATCTGTTCAGCGGATTTCCCTGGGGAGGCAAGTAAATTAGTTCTATTTCCGAGCAAACCAGCGCGAGGCAACGGGAAGCGACAAGCACCTTCGATTCGCTGATTACAATTAGACAATCCCTGCTCGGGGTCCGTCAAGCATTGATAATTTTTGGCATATTAAGCACGTTTTAGCAAAAGGTGATAAGTCAGATTTAATTGAAATGAAATTATTGCTCTAATAGAAGTTTGAGTTATTGTTATTAAAAGGATTTCCATTTTGCCCAACCTCATAAATGCAGACCAGGGTAAGATTTCTGAAGGGCACTGTAGGTTGTCGAGGCATAATAAGGTAATTTGAAGGGGAATTGCGTTTTATTTCCTCTCTCTTAGTCAGAAATGAGGTGAATTAAAACTCGGAATCAATCGCTTTTTGCTTTCCGCTTTCTCTGCAGTCAGCCCAACAATTGCAGATAATTAGTGCGCGGGAAAGTTTTAATTGCATGATTAGCTGAGCGGGATTAGAGGGACATTTGCCTGGTGGGATAGCCTAGATTTCCACTAAAACACCAAACTATGTGCTTGAGTGAAACACAAACACTGAAAGGAAAATCATTTTACACTTTAATTGGTTCCGTTTGTGGATCAAATGACTTTCAACAATTAATTTACGTTTCACACTCTAATTATCTGTACATCGACTAATGTGCAGCTCAGTTATGATAGCTACAAATGAATTCACGTTACGTTAATTCAGCAATTAAGACCTTCAAAAGTAGTATATTGATTTTTTAATTAAAATGTTTTATTGGAACTAATGGTTATTTATGATTAACGTTTAAAAAGCAAGCTTCAGGGTGAGATGAGTATTTATAAAAAGCCCAATCCATTTCATCTTAAACTTTCTATGCACTTAATAAAGAAGCTAACAAATAAACCCGACCCCTCTTAACCTCTTTAAATAAGTTTATTTCAAAAGTGTACATAAATATTTATTTTACACTGAAAAGAAATGTGTAAGGGTTGTGATTTATTATATAAACGTGCATGTACAAATCCTTAGGTGGATTTCCATATACGGCATTCAGACGTTAAAATGATTTAATTTTGACACGTGTTGATTCTTCATTTGTTTTTATAATACCGCCTTCTAGTACAGATTGAAAGTATCGAAAGTGTGATAAAAGTGGGCGAAAACGCACTGAACCCTGCCTCTCGTGTGGCTCGGGTACGTATTATTATGAAGTTAATTAAAGCTCGCGCATCTGACACAGTCACTCCGGCGGATTAAAAACAACGGGCGCCTTGCAACGCTTCGCAGGGGCCGCGTGTCAAGGGTTGTCTACCCAGGAGCCGCGCGCACGTCGAGCGGATACCGCTTGCTCAGAACTGGAGGGGTGCCCTTTCAAGAAGCGGTTTTCAAAAAGCAAACGACAAGAAGCCAATTATTGAACTTAGATGTCGGAGGAGGGGCAGAATGAAACGATTTCCATAATTCCTGTATGCGATGTGATGAAATGTTTGGGGATAAAGAGTGGAGGAGAGAGATACAAACCAAGCAGCATCAAACGCGCGCTCACGCAGGGAATGTGTGCTTTGAAAGCTACTAGTGCTGGAAGAGAGGCCTTTTTTCCCCCCTCAAAGTGCTGATTTGAAATGAACACATTGAAATGCAGAGAGGCGGCCAGCCAACAGACTGCGGGGTCAAGTGACGAACGGATTATATGCTTCTTCTTAATAATATTAATTAAACAATTTGCATGCTAATAAGGTAACAATTATCGTGCCTCTCTGTTGAAAGATTTAGGTTATTACTACACGCCATCCGGGTGCTGCTGAGGGTCAGCGCAAGCGGGCGAGTGGTGAGAAATTTCAACTCAAATTAACATTCTGGCAGCTGGAGAAATTGGATAAATAAAGTGGAATTAATTCTCAGTAATGGAGGAGGAGAGCAGGGAGAGGGAAAGACCCGTGTGCTTGCTTTACACATGGATGGGATTGATTACCATCCTGTATTCACAACCATCTCTCTTTCTCTCGCTCACTCACTTCTTTCCTTTCTAAATCCAATGCTAAATAAATAACAACAAATAAAAATGGACATGCTACAGATGAACTAAATACATTTATTCATTTTTTTCCTTTGACTTTGTACTTTTATTCATCAGGGGTCACCACAGCGGAGTGAACCGCCATGAACTACATTACAAATAAAAAACCTAAAAGTTTACAATCCTTCCATTATAAAATAATCACAAAATATTTAATGATTATGTCCCTCTTAGTTTAAACTTTTAATATTTTGTCTGTGCACCTGTGCGAGCTAATCTAACCTTGTGCATTTGTGGATTTTAATCGAATGTAATGCCTCATTTACATAGAAACTTTCTATTAAAAAAATCCTAATCTCACTTTAAATGGTTTGAACTTATTTGTAAAATGACCTCACACCATACACTCTCTCTGGAAATAACAAAGATGTAAGTTCTTTAACTTTACAAAACATAAAAACTAATGTAAAACCCTTGACATGTCAAGATTTCAATCGGATCTAGCTTTCCTCCCTCGCAAATAATCTGTCAGGCTCACTTTTGTTTCCACCTTCAGATATATATTTTTTCATAACACCTGCAAAGATCATGGCCACAGTAATCAGAACTGTGGAAATGAGTTGAAACTATTCGAGGCGCGCTCGCGTGTAGATATTAGAAAGGCTGAGGTGCTTGTAGTTTTAAATTCATCCTGACAGCTCGCAACAGGGTGGGAGATGCTTCATCCGTTCTAGGATCACTCTATTCAGGGCACGATGCCTCCGCGTAATGGGAGAACAGCGTTTTACGCATTCAGAGAGAGCCAGACGTTCCTCGAAAAGTATCAGATGTGGGATACTTGGCGTTTTCGGTTGTTAGGATGTTATTTTGTGTCTGTACAGAACAAATGCGGCGGTCAGAGCAGAACAATTAGCAATTGGAACAGAACCATTGTGTGTTTATGTAGAATTTAGTCGGGAATCAATCAATTTGCCGGTTTCGCCTCCTCCCCTTTCTCCTCCCCCTCGCCTAGTTGTGATGTCTCATGTCGTGTTGTGACAGCGCTGGTATTGTTTATTGAGGTGGATGTCAGGTATAATTAGCAATCGATATGGAAAACGTTTGTGTCGTGGCTCTGACGTCACCGACGATTAGGCTTTCTTATTGGTCGCGAATTCCCTAGCGCGAGAGCTAGTTATTTGGACAAGGGGAGAGTTGATGTTGACAAAGTAGGAGAGAGCGAATAAGCCCGCACGCCTGCCTCGGTCTCCTTATTCCTAATTCGGGAGCGCAAGGCATGTCAACGCCGCACGTCCCTTCACGGCTGCTGCATGCGTTCTGAGGGAAGAGTTGGAGCTTGTTTTGGCCAGACGAACGCGAGATGCAATGATGGATAGCCGGATCCTCGAGCATCCTCATGCCCAATTTGGAGGCTCTTTGGGAAGCATGGTTGGAATGGGTTTCCCCTACCACCTCGGTCATCATCATGTTTACGATATCTCCGGACACCAGCTACAGTCGGCGGCCGCTGTACCTTTTTCTATAGACGGATTACTTAACGGATCATGCTCGGGGTCTGTTGCAAACTCCAACCCATTGCTTGGATCTGGTTGTGGTGTAAACGGGGATAGTCAATATAAACTGGGCGGTAAGAGAATACTTTTTTTCTCAGTATAGCATGTGTACAGTTTTTGTGAGTATTTAATAGTTACGCGAGGCCTCTCGCCAAAAGAATCTGGAATATTTCTGTTCTTGCACTTTTGAATTGGAAGATTTTACAGGTTAAATAGAATGTAGGCCGATTTTACTCTTACTCGATTTTAGTCTAATGATGCACTGACAAATAAATTGTAGTCTTATTGTTACTGTGATAACGACAGGTGATTTTTTTTTCATTGGATTAAAAATCTTTGATTTGTGTTATGGGCAACCCTATGTATATTTATAGTTCTATAATTTTAAAATGCATAAATAAGATCATAAAACATTATGCAAACGTGTTAAAACCCTGTCAAATTAAATAAGACTTTGAACAATAATCAAATGCATTTTCATTTGAGTGTATTTTAAAATTAACATTAGTAATACTGCATTTGACCTATATATTTTAAGTACCCTTCACCGGTCAATTTAAACATGAAAAATAATGCACTTGTTTAAAATATTGTCATTTTATTTTATAATCATATGGATGTTATTCATTTTAAATTAACGTTCTTTAAATAATTTGCCAACAAAATCTTATGTATAATTTCTGCTAATTTCAAGCAGAATGTTTATGTGCATGTTCATCTTTGCATGCGCGTTCTGAAAGACTTTGTGGTTCTAGATGGCGGAGACCCCGACAAGGAAAGCCCTGGTTGTAAAAGGAGGCGAACACGTACAAATTTTACGGGTTGGCAGCTGGAGGAACTAGAGAAAGCCTTCAACGAAAGCCATTATCCGGACGTGTTCATGCGCGAGGCGCTCGCGCTACGTCTAGACCTTGTTGAGTCACGTGTTCAGGTAAATGATGGTTTGTTTTTATGTCACAACAAAATCTTTCATTGACCTTTATCATAATGGCCTACTAATTATTAATTAGACGGAGTAGCAATAGCCATGCTCATCTGTTTGTGATTCCTATAGGTTTAGTGTGAATTTAATAGAAAGCCTTTAAATGATGAATGTCAAAATTATTATTTTCTATGTGCATGACATGATACACAATTTAAAACAACATTACTTTGTAAATGATAATCATATAAAAGTCATTTAATCATTAAAAACATTGGTCGATAATTTAACTGATTTGGATATTAATTCATGCTAACTGATTACTGGTTTAGTTGTGTATGAATGCGATTTTTAAAGCGAATTATTATAAACAATTTATATTCAAAATAATGCTATTGTTACAATGTTTCTAATCTTTAAATGCCCTGTTTTTTATCATAATGAAACAATATTGCATTGTAGTTGATAGCTAATATATGTGATCAATTTACCTATTCTTTACTAATAAATGCAGGCCAGTGGGTTGTAAATGATCTTCGGTAACCGCTGAACGTGCAGCTTTTGTCTGCATTTAATCATTTTTTGTTGAAAATCGACGCTGGGTGAGAATCAGTTTTGTTTGGGGAGTTAAAAGCTTAGCTTTGTATTACGCTTATTCCTTAAGGAAGATTAGCCTGCTTTATCGTTTGGTTTGTATGCTCACAGATTTTAGCAAAATTAACATTTCATGTGTATACACAGCTATTGTCATGTAGCCTCGATGTCTCTATGTTAGTATGCGTCTTAGCCTGCTGGTGGATGCTAACTCGCGTGTTATCAGCGCTGAACAGACGGCAGTCGCCATGTGAGGGGCCTGGGTGTGAGGTGCAAGCCTGCTGCTCCCTGCCTCTTCTGGGCCAAATCTGTCCTAGCGCTTATACGCGCCTAAATGAACTTTAGGGGAACAGGCCCAAATTAGCCACGCAAGATCCAGGCTTAATTGAAAGATTGAGAGTGAGCCATTACATTGAATCAACTGATAATTAAGACAAGCGCATCTGTGGCTGCGAGCTTTATGATAGAAAATATGCTTGGATGTAAACATTCCCTCTGTCCAAGTTCGTCATATTGTTAATGAACCCTGGATGTAAAACAAGACATATTTTCATAAAATAAGTGCCATTTAACCCTTGTATTTTGTTTGTATATTTTGAGAACTATTGCTGTTTTATTTAACCGAATAAATGCTTAATATTAAATAATGTGATGTCTAATAATACTGAAATAAATTATTTAAATATTCCTAGCAGGTGCTTCTCAGATTCATTTAAACATTTGCATTAATAATAATTTTGCCAGTCGAGAGTTATAGCTAATTAGACGTATTTTCTTTAACATGCATTCATACTCATATTTCTAACGTGCATTTATATTCACTAAAAAAACTATTTGATTTCTAGGTTTGGTTTCAAAACCGGCGAGCCAAATGGCGCAAAAAGGAGAACACGAAAAAAGGGCCCGGTCGACCGGCTCACAACTCTCACCCCACTACCTGCAGCGGCGAGCCAATGGACCCAGAGGAAATAGCACGACGGGAGTTGGAGCGTTTGGAGAAGAAAAAGCGAAAACAGGAACGTAAACTGCTCAAGTCTCAGAACAAGCTCTTAGCCGGTGAGCTCTTCCACACGCCCGGTTCTGACAGCGACAGTGGAGTATCGCAAAGCACCGATAGCGAGTCCACTCCGCACACTGGGCCTCAGCATAGCGCGCACCGGCAGCAGACAGAACATATATGTGAGCAACATGCACGCCACCAAAGAGCCAGTACGGTCAATGAGACAGCGGAGCCCATGGACTCCACACGGAACTCTGGCCTGTGCCCCGCAAACGGCATCACACGCGCCTCCACGCTCCAGAAACTCAACCCATTTAGTGTGGAGAGTTTACTAGCCGACTCGAGTCCCAGGAGAAAAACTATCCTGGATTTTTCTCAGTTACCGCCGCAGCGACCACTGGTCGGTAAAGGCCATTTCCTTCTGTATCCCATTACCCAGCCGCTGGGTTTCATTGTGCCACAGACAGCGATGAAACAGAGTCATGATTCAGGAAACTCGGGTCACCACTGTTCCACGACAGACACCTCAACCTCAAACCAGAAAAATGTCAATCACTTGTGCAGAGACAACACCGGTGCAAGCGACGAGCTGCAGAGAGAAACCAAGAACTCTTCAATCCAGTCTCCAAGCACAAGCTCAGAGAAATGCTTTTCAGAATCTAACTCGCCACAAAAGGAGTCTGAAAATGACTCCGAGTCCACTGTCACAAACTCTAGTCAGAAAGAAAGCATCTCTGCTAACCTGTCTGAATATTCTGACAGGAAAAGCCGCAGTTCTGCTGACACAAATACAGATGGAGAGGATGTAGACATGGACTGAAATATAAATAGGCCAGAAGCAGTGGCGCCAAGTGACTTGTCACAATCCCAAAGCTGATAACGACACGTTTTTTTGTATACAAGACTGTTTGAATTCACTTTTTCTACTTTCCAGAAACGGATATTCTTTATTCAGGTGAACTGTCTGTCTGTTTCGGCTTAAAATGTTTGTTCCAGTTCAGTGGCTCTGCTCACTTGAAGGAGCAGGTTAGCTACACGAGCAGGACACACGAACAAAACATCCTCAAATCGTTGTATAAATGATAAAGTATCGAAAATATTTATATATGTATCATTTTGATAAGTAATAATAAAATATTGTGAAAGAAAATATCTTGTATCACCATCTCAGTTGCTTTTGGTTAGCCTGTCTGTTTTGTTTATCGCTTTGAGAGGCTGCTGTACAGCAGACTCGTGTTTATTGCTTTAACAAATTCATTCATTCAAAACCTCCAGTTAAAATGAGGTCTCACGCCGCGGGCGGTAGGACCCGGTCAGCTCCTGTGGAGTTTTGATATGAAAGTAATTATTTTCCCGGTGGCGGCTGGGAGGATACGTTTTTTTTCTGTTAGCCTGAAGGGTTATTATACATTACCGATTCCAGCGATATGAAATCACATAAACTTCCAACAATAATAGAATTAGCATGAAAGGCTGGCGAGTCAGATTGAAATGGGGAAATAATAGCCTAGGCAGCTGCGAGCGTACGTGTGAGGATGAGTGTGTGTGTGCGCGCGCGCGCAGTGAGGCAAGCCTGGGTGATTCGCGGGGTGGAATTTTCATGAGGCGCGCGGGCCTGTCAGGGCACGCGGAGGCGGCAATATTAAGATAGATGTTCGATGATATCCCTCATTGTTCTGTCGCGTACATTGATGTTCCTGCCTTATCGGCCTATTGATCATTTGTCGCTCTATAAAAGAACAGCCCTCCCTCCCTCTCTCTCTCACACACACACACACCACTGTGACTTTCTCTCTCTCTTTCTCCCTCTCTCTCTCTCACACACACACACATTGAGAGAAGGAGACCAATTTAGTATAATAATGTTACCTAGACGGCCAAAAACGCATGGCACGCTAAACCATATGCATTGGAAATTATTAGCCGGTTTAAGTCAATTTAAGAGTGTAAGGAGGGACGTCTGTCAAGGAAAAACGAAAGACTGTCCCAGCGTGGGCCTGCGATGGATTTTAGCAATATAGCTACTTCCTTATGCAAAACCTTTAATTATCACATTTCCTAAAAGATTTTCTCAACACACAGTTTAGATTCTGTACAAGTGGGCAGTATTGTACGAATCTAAAGCCGCCACCCTCCGGTCATCTTCATTGAGCTCCTGTATTTGCAAATAAATTAAAAGTAAACGGAGGGGCTCCGGCTTTACCCTATGAATGACATCTTCCAGCCTTAATAACATTTACATAATTTCTTATTTCGGGTTACTGCTATTTGCACTGCATGAGACCTAGCTTATAGGAAAAATAATGAGAGAAGGGATCATCTCTGGGGGGGTGTGCTACTTCAGCGACGAGAAACATAAATGTTTTAGTGTAGTTATGAGCGCAGGAAGAAATGACTGTGAGAAAAGCTGTATTTTATAGTGGCATATTTTATAGGAGTTGATTGTGAAGGTCTGACACTCCCCCCATTACACTCACTGGGGATCCTGCAAGCGCTGGTAGGCATAATTTATTAAGACAAACAATGAATTGATTTATACTAAATGAATTGATGATGCTGCAGGCTCTCCTCACGTCTGGTCTGGCCCCCAGCGCTGTAATCTACTCTTGTACTGGGTTTATAGATTCAGGGAGTAAAAAAGTTTTCACTTTGAGCCCTGAGACTCATTATAAACGGGGAAGGGAGGAGTGTAAATTGTTTTTACGCTATTATCTGTCCGTAAGCCGCAATTTCTCTTGCTAATTATGAAGGTGTTGCTTCTCATCGACAGCCGGCTGCTGATTTTCAATTTAACTGATCATCATACATTCATTTCTCCGCATGATAAATCTACAAGGCCGCCATGCCCCGGGAACCGAGTGGAGAAACAGCAGCGAGAGGGGGGTGGTGGAAAGAGTGTGGCTGTCAGGGCGAGTTAATGGGGGAAGTGTATGCGCCAATGAGTGCGGATCAGGCAGCTAATTTACCACCTCCCGTAGCCTTCTATCTCCGTATCTCATTTCCTCCTTTCTCCCGGGAGGGATTGCCACCCTAGAGCCGCGTGTACAGGCAACGGACAACTAGGTTGACTTCATAAAAAAATCGCCCATTAAAAACCTCAACAGAAATGATGGTCCAAAGCATTATGTTCTGAAGTTGGATTAATTAATGCTGGTTGACATACTCATTTAATTGCAATTAAAAAGCAACATTTGCACAATTAATTAACAAAGCCAATTATCATTCTACACCATACAGTTTTTTTGTACTGTAAAGGCGCATTAAAAGCTGCATAAAAGGTAGCTGTTTAATCTTGTCCAGGGATTTACCAAAAAATAAAAAAATAAATTATACAGATGCATGCAGATGAAATTATTTTAAAGTGCTTTATGTTATATGAAAATACATATTATATGTTATTTCATTACATATAGCCTGCCTTCAAAAGTTTACTCAACAGAATAGTATAACAAATATTTTTGAAGTACAAATATACTATGAAGTCAATTTATAAAACTCATAAGGAAGGGAGCATTACTGCGGAAATAACCTTATAATACAACATTATTGTAACATTTCAAATATAAAATGATTAATGTATTAACTCGAAATTAACTATGAATTAATAATATTTAAATATAAGAAAACATCCTACAAACTTAACTAAAACTGCATCCCATTGACACAAAAATAAATCCGACAGATTAATCTTCGTTTTTACTCTGAATATGGCTCAGAAAACCTGCTCATAGCTTAAGCTACATTAGCTTGTAAGCCGTTAAATGCATTTTTGTTCTTCGGAAGATAATATATTTAGTTTAATGCTTCATGTGGGATATATCCTTAAATATTGAGCAAGTATCCCACATGCTCCAGTCATGCGCTGTAAACTCTATAATCTCTCTTCATTTTATGGTAGGCCTACTTTTTTATAGGTCTACATGACCACGCGATTTTTGTAAGTGTCGGTTGTTGCAAGTGTAACCCCGCTAAAATATTTACTCTAGAATATGTTATAGATTGATAAATAATGTAAGTACCTCTACCGTTCAGTATTGATTATTAAAGTGGTTGGACTGTTACTTCAGCTGGCTTAGGCATTTAATTTTGGTGGTAGATTTTATGTATACTTAAAAAGGCAGCTGAAACATCCTGAATGTGACATAACTGACCAAGCAACCTGTTTAATGTAGGCCTATTTAGTAGGACTCCCAACAATCTGTTTTGAGATGCTTTGAGTAGGCCGGTGATGGTACACCGCTTAAGGTAGTAGCGCACAATTTCCTCGGTCGTGTCTTTAGGCCTCTGTAATTTGGTAGATAAATCAAGCACGTTTTGGTCTCAGGTTTAGCCTTTCAAGCTAGGTGATTGATTCGAGACCCGCGGTACTACAGGGTCACTGACAGTCTGGATAAATCAGACTAGTACTGCGGCCGACTAATGAGACCAGATTATTTCAACAGCCTGAAACGAGCGTGAAAAATAAGATCTACCTCATCCCGAGGTGTCAAATCGATTCAACATCACCGAGCAAAAACATAGGCCTACACACATACATTCGCGCACGGATGGGTCCTCATTGTTTAATTGGACCTAAAGCACAGGTAGGCTCTCATATTAAATTGTCACAACTCATATAGCAGTAGCCTACCGCGTTAACTGAAGAATGTTTCAATTAATATTTTGAGCTAGCCTAAAGCCTTAAGGTCCAGATGGTTGACCGATATGAATATAGTAGACAGATAAGATATTTTATGTTCAAAATATTAGCATCATATAAAGATTTCACCGATGAAAAACCTGTGCAATGTGCCATAAATATTTCTCTGGAACAGATCGCTTCACATAAGACATTATGTAATGTATGAAGCATCTCCATAGTCGTTTTTTCCCCTCAATAATAGCCAGAAAAAAGTTGTGTGTGTATGAAACACCAGGCTAATATAAAAGCCGTGAGTGTTAAATCATAAAATGAATTAAGGCAGTGAAAGTGATGCATGGCAAACATTATTAAAGTTTTGCATAAATTGAAATGTTCGCCTGTTACGGTCTAAACTTGTTTTAAATTAATTCCATGGGTGTCTCAAAGCAACAAAAGATTAAATTTCGCACCCCCTCTAGTTCTCTCCTGAAGTTATTCAATAGCTTATCATACACGTTTATGATCAATTGTAAAGATGTTTAAAAAGCTAAGTCGTTATGTAGACCAGGGAGAAATTATTCTTTAAATGGGACCCCTGCCTTTGTGAGGGGCATGTTGGTGTTGGTAACGATCTCACACCCGCGATTCTGATTCTCCAGCCTTATTCTGTTATTATCACCTGACCAAATGTGTTTCATTATAAGCCTCTTCAATTTTAAGAATTACTCGCTGAGAGATGTTCACGCACGGTTAACCCTGTATGTCCTACACATTCTCTCTCGGTGTTAAATATATTTAATCTATACATGACCACTGGAATCCAAAAAAAAAAAGGGGGATTTAAACATGTCAAAGAAGATTGTGAAGCAGTCATCTGTAAACGTGTTGGCACAGAAGGCATGGGGAGAAGTAGCAGATTGGCACACACTGAGGCTGGGCTATCTTTATTATATGCCAGGGGAGAGCAAGGGCAGGGCAGAGCAGAGCAGTTGGGCTCAATCTTACATACACATGCCCACTGTACCCCTGGCATCTATTAACACAAAATATGCTCTACTGACCTGGGGATGAAGTTGGGGGAAATAATGCAAAGAAAAAAGTTGGAAAAGGACAAAAGAATAGGAATGATACCTTGATCGACAATATTGGAACAAACAATGTAATCTTAAGGAGGAATTTGGTGTAAAAAAAGTGTTTTTAAATTTAGGCTTTGCAAGGGCAATGCTAGGGGTCTGTGGAAATGTTTAGGGAAATAAAAATAATTAATAAAAATATATAAATAATTAAAACAATTTAAAAAACGATAATCACACGAACTGCATTATAATTATAAGATTAGAATTAGATTAAAACGAATGCACAAATTAAATAGATTTTGTGGTATTTTATATAAACTGGAGTAAAATATAGATTAAATGTTTGTGAAATAAGTCTATTATGCTCACTAATAAGTTTTAATATTGTTATCATTTCCACATTACACCTTATTAATCTATCGTTTTGATGCTTAAAAT